AAGTTAAAAAACTATAGTAAATTGCTAATTATAATTGGTTTAGTTAAACCACTATTTGAAAATTCGGTTGTTTAGGTGATTAGACATCAATATACGCGGTCAAATCTTTCGGATGCACCGATTTTGGCTAAATCGGTCAACAAACAGAAAAAAACCAATGATTTTTTGGTCTAGGTATCCAATTAATCGGTTTAGGTGAGAAATTACTATTTATTTCTTTTTGCTAATTGTGAAAAAATAAAAATACCCTAAAAAGTAGAAATGAATCATACCATACTAAATTTATAGACACTCCATAATATAAAAATAATATATTGGTATGATTCATCAAAGTTGAGGTTTGTAGCGGTAAGGATTTATCATTTTGGTATGATGAGTGGTCAAATATGGGAAAATTATCGGAGTTGCTAGGTGAGAGGGGATATATTGATATGGGAATATCAGAGTATGCTACGGTTGAGGAAATAATTCTCACGCACATAAGGAGACGACATCGAGTAACTCAACTCAATGATTTAGAGGAAATAATGGCTAGAAAAGAGGAGCCAACTGATAGGGACATAGCATGATATCGTCTTATGGAGAAGTAAGGAAGGAAAATATAAAAAATCATTCAGTACGCATGATACGTGGAATCAAATTCGCTATGAGCATTCTCATCTACCATGGGCCAAGAGTGTTTGGTTCCCAAATCCAAGTGCTACACCAAAACATTATTTCCTCATGTGGATAGCTATGCATAATAGATTAGCTACTTGTAATAGAATCTTTCAGTGGAACTCATCTCAGACTACACAATGTGTATTTTTAATTATCCGCTGGAAACTCGAGATCACCTCTTTTCTTTAGTGTGGTGAAGTATGGAAAGGTATGGCTCGTGGGACAAAACTATTCGGCGACTTGGGAACACATTATTTTTTTCACGTGAGACACTACTCAAGGTTATATCCCTCTCTTCATTATACGATATGTCTGCCAAGAGGTAGTTTACAATATCTAGAGGGAAAGGAATATGAGAAGACATGGAGAGCCTCCACCCACGAGGTTAATCAAGCTGATTGATAAAAAAAGTGAGAATCGGTTGAATACAATTCGATCCCTAGCTAGGAGGTAAGCAATTTACGGAGAGTGTAGTGTTTTGGTTTAGCACTCAAACAAATTAGATACATTGATTTTACATTCAAAAATTCTATCTATGAAGCAATTATTGTAAAACACGTTTTATTTTTAATATAATTTAACATTTAACTCAAAGAAAAAAACAATATATGATTAATTCTTTACTAACCGGTTTTTGCGGATTTTTTTTTATTAATAAACTTTGAAAAATTTCGATTTTCGATCCATTATCTTTCTACTATCGGGAGATCGGTTTTCTATATTCCGATTTAATAATAACTTTTGGTTCCAAATGAATTGAATCCAAAAAAAAACAAGAGAACTAACATCTTGTTTTACTACTAGG